GAGGCTTGCAGTCTGAGTTCAAAGTACCAGTTCTAAGGGTTGGTTAAAAGCCCCTTGACTTTGTGCTTCAGCTCTGCCTCTTGCTCCTGGTCCACTGAAACTGGAGGCTTCTCTTAACTCAGACAGCTGCTGGCTACTGAAGGTGACAAACCCAAAGTTGACAAATAAAATGGCTCAGTCCCAAGATTATCAAGTAACATGGCAGGCTACTAATTCGATTCTATTAACAGCCCCAACACGGCAGGCCATTGAGATGAAGACTTGGCCAAATGCAGGATCCAGATGTGCCAAAAGCTAGAAATCATTCTCAAAGCTTCTTTATATATACTGGAAGCAGACCACATCCCTAAGGCAGCTACTCAGCTGCTCACAGTAGATTTCACCATGGAGTTGATTACCAGTCTCATCATGGGGAATACTATATCCAGCTGCCCAGACATTCAAAACCAAGACCAGCCAAGTTGACACATAACCTAACCTTAACTACCACAGTGACTGTGCTGGTATGTGAAATTCTACTGGTGGTATAACTTCCAGCATCACAGCAACATGCAAGCCACCATATATGACAAACTGACAGACAAGTAGTGGGAACAATATGTAAAGAAATTGTTAAATAGGAACTTAATTTCCTATGTAAACTTTCACCAAAACACAATATAATAGTAAAAAAATATATATATATATAAACCTCAGGGAAATATTTGCAGTTCGTATAACAAAGAAAGAGCACATGTGCCTAATTGTAAAGAGTGTCTACAAATCAATAAGACAAAAAACAATTCAGTAGAAAAATGGACACAATTTGTGAACAAGTATTTCTCATTAGTGGAAATACAAATGGCTTTATGAAAAACACTCAAGCTCATTTATATTCAAACCAAACCAAACCAAACTCACTGCCAAGTCAATTTTGACTCATAGTGACCCCCACTGGGTTTCCAAGGCAGTAAATCTTTATGGAAGTAGATATCCCATCTTCCTTCCACGGAGCAGCCAGTGGGTTTGAACCACCAACCTTCTGGTTAGCAGTCAAATGCCTTAGGCACTATGCCACCAGAGCTCCTCACTTATATTAAAGTAAATGCAAACTAAGATTTGCAGTGAAATGTCATTTTTCATCTATTAGATTGGCTTTTTTTTTCTTTTAAGTTGATCTTTAATGACACAATGCTGGTAAGGTTATAAGGAAACAAGCACTCTCATTTGTTGCTGATGTAAATAGAGGTCAATTTTGCAATATCTATCAAAAGTAAAGCTATACATTCCCTGTCAGCCACCATATCCATTTGTAGAAATTTATTCAACAGATATTCATACATGTACAAAGTGGCATTTGTACGAGGCTCTTTATCACAGCATTGTTTATAATAGCAAACGATTGGTAACAACCTGAATCTCCCCATTGGAAGGGATCTAGTTAAATAAATTATGGTACATCTATACATAGGAATTTTATGTAATAGTACTAAAAGAATGTGTCATGTTGTTATGTGCCGTGGAGTCAGACCCGACTCATAGCAACCCCTCCTTGGGTTTCCGAGGTAGTATCACTATGGAAGTTGATTGCCCAACCTTGCTTCTGAGGAGGGGCTGGTGGGTTTGAACCACCAGCCTTTTGGTTAGTAGTCAATTGCCTTAGGCACTATGCTACCGGAGAAGATTCACAAGATATATTAGATGAAAACAAAAACAAATATAAAACAATATGTATTGGGTTTAAAAACAAACAAATTGGTTTTGCACAGAATATCTCTCAAAGATACCTAAAAAAAATGGCTATATTTCCTCAAATCTAAGACCTTTTTGATGCTGGCACTTCCTTGATTAATCAGGTGATAGGATTCTCATTCAACTGTGTATGGACTGCCACCTGGCTGATGGTGATTTTGAGATGAGTTCTGATTTCAGAGGCTAAAATGTCACAGAACACAAAAAAACCCTTAGAATCAATTGAGCTAGTAACACCTGGTGATTCTAGAGAGGGGAATCAGGAGACTGGGGTGGGAGAGAGACTTTTCACTCCATCGCTAAAAACATAATAAAATTATAACAATAAATTTAAATGATCATTTTACAAAGAAGGGTATAGATCATGTTGATAGACTCCTACAGTTTGTACTGTGAGGGAAATATTTTTGAGTCTGCAAGAGCGCTAACAGTGGGGAGGGGAGAGGAATAGATGAGGAACAAAAGAAGGGAGACTGATGGGTCTCTGTACAGCATTTTGTATCATTTGAAATTTATGCTATGTGTATTAATTACCCTCAAAATAAGAAACACATTAACCTAATTTTTTCAAAGTTTAAAAATTAGCAATGCTGGAAGGCTCCTACTATTTATCAGGCACCTGATGCATACCAGGCCTGTGTTGTGTCTCATTGAATACTGACAACTTCCCTGCAAAGATGGTACCTTATTTTCATTTTATAGGAGACTCATATTGGGAGCTCTGGTAGCATAGTGGCTAAGGCACTTGACTGCTAACCAGAAGGCTGGCGGTTCAAACCCACCAGCCACTCCTCGGAAGAAAGATGGGGGCAGTCTACTTCCCAAGAAGGGGTCGCTATGAGTCAGGTCCGACTCGATGGCACCTAACAACAACAACATATTGAAGAGGATAGAAAACTCACCAGCTACCACACAGCTAGTGAGACTTGGCAAGGCCTGAGCCTGGTTCGCACTCTTCCCTAAAAGGGGCTGTATGAAGTTAAGAGCCCTGTGCAAAATGTAGGCCCTTCTTCCTGCCTTGTTCCTCCTTAGTCCCAGGGAGTCCCCAGGAAGGGCTGGGCCTGCTGATGCTAGAGTCCTTGCTGCTTCGGGAGACCATGAAGGGCCCACCCAAAGGAGTGTCTGGAGAACCCGTAGGAACTCACATGCACCCCTAGACTTGGGGTCAGGGAGGCTGGTGGGTGAGGGTTGGGGCAGCACATGGTGCATGGGAATGGGCCTCAGTCTGTCTGCAGAGCACTCACTGTGGTGTCTGTCTCTGATCAGGGAAGAGACAGGACCACTGAAAGACTCCCAGGGGCTGGGCTATAATGAGAAACTGACCCCACTCCTGGGCTCCAGGCTTTACTTGACCTCATAGCCCCTTTGGGGTCTGAACTAGGTCCTGGTCCAGTTGATCCCCATTACAGAGTTCCCTGTGTGATCTCTGACCCCTGCATTTTCTTATGGCCCTCACCTGTGGCCTGGCTTCTGGTTGGGGTCAACTCCTGGTGGATCAGAGCCAGGGCAGGAGGACACATGCAGATCCTCAATTGCAGCTCCCACTCTCCAGCACCACTTTGCTGCTGAGTTTACTGCTCATGTCCCAGGCCAGCCAGCCCACTGCCCGCCATGGTGGTCTCAGCTGTGGCCCCAGGGTCAGGTCCAAAGTGACCTTTAGTCAGGGATGTAACTCACTGCCATCAGTTGATTCTGACTAATAGCAACCCCCACTGAGTTTCCAAGGCTGTAAATCTTTTCGGAAGCAAATTTCCTTATCTTTCTTCTGCAGAGCAGCTGGTGGGTTCGAACCACAGACCTTTTGGTTAGCAGCCAAATGCCTTAACCACTACACCACCAGAGCTCTTTAGTCAGGAATAAGAGGCCCCTTATTCCCTTGCTCCTCTTTCTTCCCGCAGGATGGAAGATCTGATTCCGGAGCCACTTTACCACCTCTGAGCTTTCTAGACCCAATGTTGCTGTGACCCTCTTCCCAGAGCCACAGGGGCTCTTCCTCTGCATGACAAAGGGTGGGAGCTGCCCTCCCATCTGATGGCTAATCAACATTTGTAAAAAGGCTCCCAATACACATTTGCTTTCTTCTTTTGGCCTCAGTCTAGGGTTGCCAGATTTAGCAAATAAAAACATAGGCTGTACAATAAAATGTGAATTACAGATAAACAATGGATACTTTTCTAATACAAGTATGTCCCAAGTATTGCATCCTTTATTTGATCTGGCAACTCTACCCCTATCTGATTACCCAGTTATTTTATTTCCCCATACAACTCTCAACCAGCTTGAAATCTGTTTTCAGGAAAGGGGTCTTGCGTCCTGGGGAAGCTTCAGGAGTCCAGTGGATTTGCCCTCTAACCCTACCCAGATCAATCCCTGTATTAATTTTGGCCCAGCTCCCTTCAGGGGCCAAGGCAAGATCTGCACAGGAATAGTTTGAGGGTGTGGAAAGAACTTTGGGCTGAGAACCTGAAGACCTGACTTTATGTAGTTACTATCCATCATTAACTGCACGAGGTTGGGGACAATGTCTTCTCTCTGAGTCTGGGCTTTCTTGGCTCCAAAATTGGGGGAATGGATGAACTTTTCAGTTTGGAACTCTGATTCTGTACACAGCAGGGAAAAGAGCGAGGTTGGGGCTGCTTATACAATGCTCCCAGGCTCCCTGACTCGGAAAGTCCCCCCAGAACAGTGGGATTTCCCAGCCATGGGTTCCCTGTCCGGGCTCTGTGTGGTCCCAGGAGTTCTCTGAGTACTGGCTTCAGCTGCCCATCCCTATAGGATGACTGATAGGCACCTCCAGTTCCTGTAAGCACCAGGACTGGGTCCATACCAGGGACTCTCAGCTCTGCTATTGGGGGAGGAATGGATCAAGCAGAGAAGGATGATCCCCGTATTCCACCTCTTCTCTAAAACACAAGCTTTTAATTTAACTGGTTGAGTTCCCCAAGCCTAGGTAAGGCGCATGACAACTGAGCAGCTGAGAGAGCAGCAGCCAGTGGCCCCAGACCTGTGTGGCTCCAGACAGCCCTTTGTGCCCTTTCCAGACAGCCCCCTCCTGGAGCTCAGGGACCTGTCTGGCTGCTGAGCCCCTAGGAGGTCCGAGAGGTGTGCCCTCCCTCCCTCTGTCCTCTCGCCCACCCCCCTCCAGGCCTGTCCCAGAGCGCCTATAAAGCTGGCCCAGCCCTGGCTCTCAGCACACCCTTCTGGGCCACCAGTCCTTCCTGGGGCCTCCTCTGGGACACACCCCTGCTCCTGGTCCCCCTGAGAGCAGTATGTGGCCGCTGTGTCTCTGCTCGGTACTCTGGGCGCTGCCCCTGGCCGGCCCTGCAGTGGCCCTGACTGAGGAGCAGATCCGGGGCAGCCTGCTGCAGCAGCTGCACCTCAGTGAGCTGCCCGTGCTGGACAAGGCCGACGTGGAGGAGCTGGTCATCCCCGCCCACGTGCGGACCCAGTACGTGGCCCTGCTGCAGCACAGCCACGGGGTCCTCTCCCGTGGGAAGAGGTTCAGCCAGAAATTCCGAGGTGAGACCTCCCTCCCTGCTGCACCCTGGTCTAGGGAGGGTGGTGGGGCTAGTCTGGTTGTGCCTGCTCTGGTGGTGTCAAAGGCTGGGGCTCTCTGAGGATGTCTCCAGGGAGTCCTTGGCCTAAGGGGGCAGTGAGGAAGGAGCATGGCCTGGTGAATATGGTGGGTCTTGGCCCCTGGTCTCTGTGCACTGAGGGCCCCACCCCTCAGGGCTGGACCTGCTGGGAAAGTCAAGGCAAGAATCAATATCCATGACATGGGGAAGCAAACAGGAAAGAGGGGAGGATTGATATGGTCTGGCAAAGGGGGCTTCGTGACAGTGGGCAAAGACAGTGGCTTCAGCAGATTTTGCCATCGAAAGAATAGGCTCATCCTGGGTTCAGTTCTCAGCTTTGATATTCATTGTGTTACCTGTTCGCTTTTCTAGAATGGGTTTAAATTACCTCAAATTTACCTCCCAGAAGAAGCTCTGGTGACATAGTGGTAAAGCATTTAGCTGCTAGTAAAAAGGTTGGTTTGAACCCACCTGCCAGTCTGAGGGAGAAAGATGAAGTCATCTGCTTTTGTAAAGATTTTACAGCCTATTCCGTCCTATAGGGTTGCTATGAGTTGGAATGTCCTCGATGACAGTGAGTTTGGTTTACTTTGCCCTCTGCGAGTTGACAGCATTAACTGAGATGTGAGGGATGATGTAATATTTTTAAAGTTCATTGCTTGAAAAACAGGAATAAGTGTAATGGGACCTGAATCCTGTGTTTTGTTTTGTTTTGTTTAATTTTTATTGTGATTTGGGTGAAAGTTTACAGAGCAAATTCATTTTCCACATTTTGTTTCATGACATGACTGCAATTCCCCACAATGTAAGCTCTCTTGCCACTTCCTCACCGTAATTACCTCCTCTCTGTGTCCTTCCCTCCTGTGGAAGCCTGCACCTGTGCTGTGCACCACCACCCCCAAGCTATCTCCTCACAGAGCAAACACGGCCTTTCTGTTCTCCCACGATTGATCACTCCAAGGAGTGTATCTATCTAATGTAAATGTTCACGCCATATGCCTGTCTATTGTTTGGCTGGAAGCCACAAGAGTGAGTTCAGTTACAGATCTCTAGGGAGGTGAGAAGCTGCAATAGGATTCAGATCTTCAGTGCCTAGAGCTAGACCCACAGTTATCAGCTCTCGGGCCAGGCCAAGTGCCTGGGGAGACAAGGATGTGGTTCTGTATACTTCAGTAGAAGCGACTGCCAATGGCATTATGTATGGCTCGTTGGTCAGCTGATCACACTGCCAACTTGGAGCCGCAGGTTGGGGAAGTGTTGCTTGTGCCTCTGAGGAGCGGATCATGCATGTCTCTGCCACTTACCTCAGGGCTCAGGAGCCCCCTAAAGGCTATTTACAGGCACCTGGCTCCTTGTTTTCCTTTAGGGGACATTTCACTCGTCCTGAGCGTGTATATACACACAGAGACACACAGACCAGTTGTCACTGAGTCAACTCTTGACTCCCTGCCATGGCAAGTGTACCAGAATAGAACTGTACTCCACAGGGATTTCAATGGTTGGTTTTTTGGAAGTAGATGGCCAGGCCTTTCTAAAGAGGCACCTCTGGGCAGACTGGAACCTCCAACCTTTGCACCACCCAGAGACCTTCAAGCTTCCTCACCAGAGAGGGAGATGAGTCAGTTCAAGGCTCTTCCTTTCCCCTAAAGCTCTACCAGAGCAACTAGGTTTAGGTAGTGACCAAAGATTGCAGGGTCTCTGCCTCCCCCTCTGTTCTTGCACCCATTTTATGTCTGCTTGCTAGCATTAAAGAAATCTGGGCTTCTGTACCGATCATAACTGAAACCCCAGCCTTTTGCTTCAGTTCCCAAAACTCCCCACCCAGCGAGGGTGGAGGTTACTAATAAACAAGCCCACAATCCCATAGGATTGTTTTAGGAGACTGGACCTGGCCAGGAAGATTTTATTTATTTTGGACAGGTTGGGGAGAGTATCTCTTTCTCACCTGCTTCCCCAGTTTTCCAGCCCTCCAATTTTCCCTGTGGATTTCTCAGAAAATCCTGTAAACTGGCTCTAGGCCCTGCTACCCTCAGCGTTTCCCCTGTCGCTGGAGAGGCTCTGCTAACCTTGCTGTTGTTTTCAGAGGTGGCTGGCAGGCTCCTGACATCCGAGGCCTCCACGCACCTGCTAGTGTTCAGCATGGAGCAGCGGCTGCCTCCCGACAGCGAGCTGGTGCAGGCCGTGCTGCGGCTTTTCCAGGAGCCGGTCCCCAAGGCCACGCTCCGCAAGCACGAGCGGCTTTTCCCGCGCAGCGCCCTGGTGCGGATCACCGTCGAGTGGCTGCGTGTGCGCAACGACGGTGCCAACCGCACATCCCTCATCGACTCCAGGTGGGGAGATGGCGGCCGTGGTGCGTGCGCATGTGGGGCAGAGGACATGGGTGTGGGGCCTCCTGGCTGGACCATCAGGGAGAGGGAGGCGGGGAGAGGCTCCCAGGGCTCCTGTGACGGCCCGAGGTCTCCTTGTCTCCTCCTAGGCTGGTGTCCCTCCACGAGAGTGGCTGGAAGGCCTTCGACGTGACCGAGGCAGTGAGCCTCTGGCAGCAGCTGAGCCGACCCCGGCAGCCTCTGCTGCTGCAGGTGTCTGTGCAGAGGGAGCACCTGGGCCCGCTGGCCTCCGATGCCCACAAGCTGGTGCGCTTCGCCTCCCAGGTGGAGGGGGGCGCCGGGCAGCACGAGCCCCAGCTGGAGCTGCACACCCTCGACCTGAGAGCCTACGGGTAGGCGCCGTGGGTCAAACCGGTGAACCCGGATTACGACTAAAAGAGCATTAAACTTATCTTGAAAAGGGCTACTTTTCAAGTTGTTGAAATGTGGGAATGAGACAATAAATAGACTATTCCTAGTTCAACTCTTAGACCTCAGTAAACATCAGTTACTATTATTCATGTTTTGGATATTCATTCATCCTGTATCATACATAAATAGCCAGCTTTTAGAGTGTAATAACCTAGTAAGAGATGGGTCATAAATCTCCCTCCCAGATGCCTCCTTATGCCCCACCCTGGGCCTCCTGCCCTCAGCCCTCTCAGCTGACCTCTGACCCTGCCTCTCCTTGCCCCCACAGAGCTCAGGGCGACTGTGACCCTGAGGTGCCAGTGACCGAGGGTACCCGTTGCTGCCGCCAGGAGATGTACATCGACCTGCAGGGGATGAAGTGGGCTGAGAACTGGGTCCTGGAGCCCCCAGGCTTCCTGGCCTATGAGTGTGTGGGCTCCTGCCAGCAATCTCAGGAGTCCCTGACCTTCCAGTGGCCGTTTCTGGGTCCGCGGCAGTGCATCGCCTTGGAGACCACCTCGCTGCCCATGATCGTCGGCATCAAGGAGGGAGGCAGGGCCAGGCCCCAGGTGGTGAGCCTGCCCAACATGAGGGTGCAGAAGTGCAGCTGCGCCTCAGATGGGGCACCTGTGCCCAGGGAGCTGGGGCTGTAGCCACTCAGTGTAGCCACTGAGGGACTTGGTTTCTGTCTGTGCCAGAACTGTTCCAGGGCATGAAAAGAAAGGATGATTACTGGAGGATGGTCGATAGCTCTGTGCTTTCTACTGGGCTCTGTTACGTCCATGAGGCAGTGGTCAGCAAAGGTCTGATGGGACCTCTGGATGCTTCCAGATCAGTCAGCTCCCTTCCTAACTTTTGCTTCCAGGAACAAGATTCTGGCCTGCCCAGTCTTCTCTGTTCCTGATATTATTCACTGCACTATTTCCTAAGCACTTACATGTCTAGATGGCTGTAACTTAAGGGCAGAAACCACAATCTGTCATTGTTTGCTTGTCCTATCACTGGACTGAGGCTGAGCCCTGTGGTTTGGGCAGAAGATCCAGCCACCCTGGGCCGAAGACCTGGGTCAAGTGTAGGTTGCGTATTCCCAATCCTGATAATAAGGGCATTTTTGCAAGAAATAAATAATATGCCTTTTTTTTCCTGCAATGTTAAATATATACATATATTTACCCAGAACCTTGTAAAATTGTGAAAAAGGAACAAAAAACTGTACAAGGATTAGGTCAATCTGATTACAAAGGAGGAAAAAAGACTTAGCCAAGGTCTCAGTTAAGTAATAGAGGAAGCAAGGTTTGAAATACATTCAGATTCTACTATCTGTGATGTCTGTACTCTCAGAATTGAGAGACACATCTTTTTTTTTTTGTTGTTGTTGTTGTTGTTGGCATTTTTAGCTTTCTGGGTATAGTGAGTGGACTCAATTTCAATTTTCCATGCATCAAAAATTAAGAATTTGATCAAAACCATCATCAATACTGCAAGAATGTGGGTCACTCCTTTAGATTTTGGGGCAGAGGAAACAATATTGAACTGTTGAGTATAACATTTAGAATGTCAGGATTCAGGTGCTTCCAACTTGTGACATTGGGGACTGGGGCATGGATATTTTGAGTTCCTTGCCTGTCAGGTAGGAGCTCTGGTGGCATAGTGCCTAAGGCATTTGACTGCTAATCAGAGGTTGGCGGTTCAAACACACCAGCCTTTCCATGGAAAGATGGGGCAATATGGAGTAGATTCTACGGCAGTGAGTTTGGTTTTGGTTTTGTCTGTAAGGAGGCCTGGTTGCATAGTGGTTAGGTGCTCTGCTGCTCACTGAATGGCTGGCAGTAAAAACCCACCAGCTGCTCTGAGGGAGAAAGCTGCAGCAATCTGCTGTGTAGATTACTGCCTTGGAAACCCTATGGGGCAGATTTACTCTGTCCTGTAACCAAACCAAACTCACTGCCATTGAGTCGATTTGATTCATAGGGACCCCTCCTTGGGCTTCCAAGGCAATATCTCTATAGAAGGAAGTAGATTGCCCAATCTTCCTTCTGAGGAGGAGCAGCGGTGGGTTTGAACCACCAGCCTTCTGGTTAGCAAATGCCTTAGGCACTACACCACCAGTTGTTATGACATGAGTCGGACCTGGCTCACAGTGACCCCTCCTTGGGTTTCCGAGGCAGTATCACTACAGAAGTAGATTGCCCCATCTTCCTTCCAAGGAGTGGCTGGTGAGTTTGAACCACCAGCCTTCTGGTTAGCAGTCAAGTGCTTTAGGCACTACGCTACCAAGAGCTCCTGAAGTCTGTCCTATAAGGTCAAAGTAGGTTTTTTGGTGGGTTGCCTGTCAAGATAGCTCTTATTAGCTGTAAATCCAATAACCTCCAAACGTCCATTTCCTTCTCGGTCAAATAGAAACAATCCCTGACTCTTGTACTTTTTTTTAGGGGTTTAATAGTTTTCACATGCATTCCACACACATGACACATAACAGGTACTATGGTTATTTCAACTCCAATCCATCTCTGCCTGGACTTTGAAATAACCAACCTACTGAAAAGAAAATTTAGCAATCTCTTATGTTTCCAAAACTCAGGACCCTAACTTCTGTTTTGTCATTGGCTCCACCGTTCTAACACTCAACCCAGATGGTGGCATCAACTGAGGTAGGAAAACGACAAGGACTTGCAGGTGGGGCTGGGGGAAGAAGATTGGACATGGGTCAGTTTGAGCAGCCTGGAGGAGCCAGCAGGCCACACTCAGAGATTTGCTAACATGTTTAACTATGAACCAGAACATGCCTCCCCAGGGGAAGGTGGGATGGAAGGTGGGCCATCCTTGGCAGCAGGAGGCAACAACAGGAAATAAGATGGCCAGGAGCAGTGTCTGAGGGAAAAGGGCAGAGGTGGGGGAAGCAGAGGGGAAACCAGGAGGTAACTAATGGTTGGGGTCTGGGAGGAAAGGAGGAAGCCAGATGAGACAGACAAAACCTGTCAAAGACAGGAGGAGACCCTCTCACCTCCACCCCAGAGCCACAGGCTGGTACTAGAATCAAGGACAGGGAGGTAGGGAGGATATTTTTATCATTACAATGAAAGATAAAAGTCCAGAAATGGAAGCAAGGGGAACCAGGTCAGAGAACCCGCAAAGCGCACATGCGTGGAGTGAGGAGCTGTTTAGGATTCGACAGAATTTAAGTTGTGGTAATGACCTGAGAGGAAGCTTGTCCAACCCCCCATTTCATAGATGGGCAAATTGAGGCCTGCCTAGTCGATAAGGCAGTTATGGCAGTAGGAGGGCGTGCTCTCCTGCTTCGCAGGGCGCATGGCCCTCACTGAGCCCCATCCTGAGCCCTGCCGGGCGTGATAGAGCTGGTCCTGCCCTCAACGAACTTACAGTATAATTGCGGAAGCCACTCATTCATAGGAACAACTTTATACCAAGTGCGTGAGACTCGTGAGCTGGGCCACAGTCGGTGTCCCCGAGCCGCGAGTGATGGTTCTGGCACGGGCAGTACCGGCCTTGGCCCCGGGGAACCGCTGCGCCCTCCGTTTGGGTCGAGACGAGCACCCGCAGGGTTTTCAGGGTTCCAGTTCGGAAAAGCTGCGTAGAAGCCGCGGCCAGGGGCCACACGACTGAGCTCCCCATACTCACATCCCTTCACCCCCTCTCCCTTTTCCAGTAAATTCAGTCAACTCAGGGGCGTTTACAAATGTCTGCAAATGACCTCCCAGAGCGGCCGCGTCCATCCTGCGCTAGGTTCCGGTCTTCCGGGGGTTACGCGAAGACTTAGCCCAGGCTGCGCCCTCTTGGACCCTTAGAGGTAAACTGGCCGGGCTGGGGTCTCAGACCCTGGAAATGGCTTGCTAGCTGAGCAGCGACGCTTGGACACGGCTGGGGACAAGGGGTGCGGAGGGGTGCACAGTTAGGGACACAGCCCGCGGTGTGGCGGCCGGCGCGGGCGTGGACTCCAAATTGGGCAAGCGGTGGCCCGAGTTCTGCGCATGTGCAGGAGGTGCCAGAGTTTCACTTTGTAACTTTTAAGTGGTCCGGAGGCAGCCCCGCCCGGCCAGGTGGGGCCAGCCAGCTTCCTCCGCAGCGCCAGCCTAGCCCGGTCGCCGCCGCCGCAGGTAAAGTGGGCAGGGGTTGTTGAGGAGGGGGAATGTCCTTTCAGCCTTTCCTGGGACGTGGGGGCCCAGGGAGTACTCCAGGTGCCACGTCAAGTGTCCGGTTCTGGAACACGGCTGCTCTCCGCAGCCTCCACTCCGAAGCAGTGGTGACTTCAGAGGGGTGAGAGGGAGAAGAGAGAGGGTCAGTCCCAGGCCGCGCGCACTGAGCGCCCCCATTCCCAGCCGTACGCTCCTAGAGACTTTCTGAGAGCTTTTCCGGACTTCCCTAACCATGGCTCTGGCTTTTCGCTGTCACGCCTGGTCCCTCCCGCCTCCCCACCTCTTTCTTTGGGCATTTATCAACCAGAGTCTGACCTCCCAGTTTAGTCAGAAGCGCAGCCGGGAGGCTTTTCCTTCTCAAATTATCAGTGCTATAGGCTTGGGAAAGGGCCCCCTACAACTGGAGAGACAGAACCACTTTCCCACTGCCCCTGGGTGCCCACTCCTTGGTGAAGTCCTGAGGAGGGAGGCTGAGGATTTAGGGAAGGAGAGAGGAGAGTGAACAGAGTTCTGCAAAGAAACTAAATCCCTTAAGGTTCCAGTACTTGATAAGACTGGCTACCTGAGACCCTGGGTAGCCCTTGTCTTTCAGCCCAGGTGGTATCCCCAAGGGCAGGGATCAGTGTGTGGTAGACCAAAAAACCTCCAAGCTACTTCCAGCCCAGAAGCACTGTGCCTTTGTGCTTCAGCCCCTAGATGACTGTTTGAAGTTAAGCTCAAGTACTTGGTGCTCACCTGTACAGGTACCTGTGGGCCCAAGGGGGCTGTAGGCAGGATCCTGGCCTTTCTGAGGCCCTGGCTCTGTCATTGTTACAAACTCCCACTGACTGGGGATAAGGAAAGATTTGGGCCATCTTTTACTGAAGAAAGAAATCACTCCCAAGCCTCCACTGCCCCCAATCACCCATTTCTCTCTCCCTCTCCACTCCAGTGACACCTATCAAAAGCCCTCGAGTCTGCTTCTGCCTTAAGTTAGCTATGAACAGAAGCCAAGGCCACCTTTTCCCTTCAGTCTCTCTTATTTCTTTACTGTTGGGCAAGGTCTCTTCCTGGATGTTCACTGGGCCTCTAACAGAGAAGATGTGAGATGGGGCCCTGCCCTTATATTTCCCGTTAGCTGGAGGGGTGATTTATTTTATTTTGTTATTGTTGAGAATATCCATCGCAGACCATGCACCAATTCAATAATTTCTGCATGTACAATTCAGTGTCATTGATTACATTGTTCAAGCTGAGCATCCATTCTCACTCTCATTTTCTAAATTGTTTCTACTCCATTAACACAAACTCAATGCCCTCAAAATTTCCTATGTAATCTTTCCAGTTGTTATTGTCAATCCATAGAGATAGTTCTTACAAGAGCACAATGTTGAAAGCAGACATTGTTTACTAAGCTAAACTATTTGGTTTAAAGAAGGTTTCAGAGGGTATTTTTGGTGTAAGGTTTAAAGGTTACCTCAGAGCAATAGATAAGGGTTCATCCAGCTCCCGTGACTCCAGAAAATCTAAGGTCCATGAGAATGTGAAATTCTGTTCTGCTTTTTTTGCCTTTTGATCAAGATTCTTCTTTAGACTCTTTGATCAAAACATTGAGTAACTGGAGGGGTAACTTACAATAAAAGCAAGTAGCTTTTGAGGGCTCACTAGGGCTGGGCCCTGATCTAAGTGTTTTACAAGTATTATCTCAGGTACATTCCTTCCAACAGCCCTATAAGAAAAACACCTTCATTTCCTTACCCATTAAACAAAGGCACAGAATAGTTAAGCAATTTTTCTAACTTATGAAATTGCAAATGATGGTGGCAAGATCCTAATGCCAGAGCCTGCTCATTAACCACAGTACCATACTACCTCCTACTTCAGCCATGGGCTATCTCATCCTTGTGGTGTCCAGGGTTGATGTCTATGGAGGTAAAAAGTAGTCCAGATTTCTGACCTGTTTGGTAGTGCCTCAAGGAGGTGGTCTGTTTATTTCTCAAGGTTCTTCCACATCTAGAAGATCAGGGTTAGCTTCTGTGACAGAAAGGACTAAAGCTGCTTATAGTCTTGCTATTATCTTAACAAAATTGCAAAGATTTGGTGATCATAAAAATATACTGAATTTGTACAAGGCCTGTTTTCGAGATCCAAGAATCTGACCCACTTCCTGTATCTTTCTGCCAGCATCTCAGGTAGGGAGGCATGGAGATCATCTCGCTACAAGGAGTCCTATGTGGCACAATGGTTAAGACCTGAACTACTAACCGAAAGGTTGCTGGTTCAAACTCACCCAGAGGTGCTTTGGAAGAAAGGCCTGATGATCTGCTTCTGAAAGTTCACAGCCTTGAAAACCCTGTGGTACAGTTATGTTCTGCACACCAGGGGTCGTCATGAGTAGTAATTGATTAGATGAGCAAATAGCAATAAGAAGCTGGCTACAGAGGCCTCTTATGCTGCCCTAGGGCCGTCATGTGAAACTTGCTGGCAGTGGGTTGACACTGGTGGTTTACCTTGGTAAGTCTGAGATCAGCTGTTGGATTCAGCCCTCTGTCCCACTGACCACATCACACTCTCAGGTGCACATGGGCTGACTTGTGGGTTGGAAGTCCTTCTGGTCATCCTGGCTTCTGGCCCTCAGCAGTAATTCTTGTGTTTTCAACTCTCAGGGTACTGGGGAAATGAGATGAGATGATGATTAGGAGCTCTCTGGAAAGCATGAATAAGTGGTAGGCACTCACACCTACATGTATTTAACAAATGTGTGTTGACTGAGTATTGCCAAGGGTACGTGGCCAGGCATGGTTCCCTACTTACTAGTTTGGTATCTCTGCACTGTCAGTCTCTCCCCATCACTGAGTCTCCTGAAGGCCTCTTATGTAGTCTGTGAGGGCCTGCCCTGGGGCAGCTGTGTTTCCCAACCATGCAGACTGTCTACTTGACTTCTTGGAGTGTGCCTGTTTGGGAGGATGCCCAGGGGTTGCCCCTTGAAAGTTGGAGGGACCATGATGGTTTGGCAGGATCTAGACTGTCTAATGCAGGCACTGAGCCAAAGTTCTGAGAGAAGAGATGAGGGCCCCCAACACTGTGCCCTCACCAGCGAGGGGTGGGGTGGCCAGGACTGCCTACCTGGGTGAGGAAATCCTGAGGCCCTTCCTGACCTTCCTCCCAGACTGGCAGTATTTCCTGGCTGATCACACTGAGTTCTTACCAGGCTTTGTAAAACCACCTGGGAGAGCCTGTTTGGCCAGAGAAAATGGCATAAGAGTCCTTTGACCTTGACTGAAGGGGAAAAAGGGGCTATGATATTTCCAGTATTTCCTTCCACAAGGTCTCTTTGCTGTTCTAATACCCGCGCATATAGCAGCCCCATGAGGATCTTTCCATTCTGAGCACTTCCAAGACAGCCTCCCTTTCCGGTGACAGTGCCCCCTCTGAGTATTTTATGGGGATGAGTTTTCCTTTCACTTCTCTTTTCAAGCCATCCTTGTTTGTTCTGTGGGAGCTCTGGTGGCGTAGTGCCTAAGGCATTTGACTACTAACCAGAAGGTTGGCGCTTCAAACCCACCAGCCACTCCTCAGAAGGAAAGCCGGGCAATCTACTTCCGTAGAGATACTGCCTCAGAAACCCAAGGAGGGGTCACTATGAGTCAGAACTGACTCAGAGGCAGTGAGTTATTTGTTCTGTAGGAGCTCTGGTGGTGTAGTCGTTAAAGCATTTGGGTGCTAACCAGAAGGTCAGCAGTGTAAACCCACCAGCTGTGCCATAATAAGGCAGTCTGCTTTTGTAAAGATTTACAGGCTTGAAACCCTATGGGGCAGTTCTACTCTACCTTAAGTGTCATTATGGGTCAAGTCTGATTTGATGGCAGTGAGTTTAGTTTGATTGGTTGGTTCTATCATGTTCTTTCTTACTGGTTCTAGCTCTTGGAGGACTTTGGGGAACCTCTCTGGCAGCAGCAGCCCTTGGGGCCCACATGAGGTCCTCAGCTCAGGTTCTTACCTCGAGCTCCCAGTGTGTCCATGGGGCAAGGGGGAGGTAAACAGAGAGGATGCCTCCCCTGGCCCTAGCAGGGCCATAGCCATTGGGAAAGAGGGCAGAGAGGCCAGAGCTGCAGGTGATGCTGGGTGAGGAAAGGGAAATGACCTGTTCCAGGGGTCTGGGGAGAGCCAAGGCCAGAGTAAACCCACTGGGCAGAAGCAAAAGCTCCATGTGAACTATTAGATTGGACTATAGGGAAGGTATGCCGAAGAGTTTGAGGCCAGCACCCCTAAAGTGGAAAAGGGCAGCTCTGATATGACTGGACTCTCTGTTCCTTCAGGGAGGTCTTTAAACGCTGATGCCCTGGACCTGGGAGTCAGGAGAGCCCTGCAGAAAATGAATGGGAGGCCTGAGGCCTGGCCTCCAGCAGCTTGGGAGGTAGTCCAGGCTGCCTTTGCCTTTGTCAGTGACAACACCAACTGAGAATGCCCCACAAGGTTCTTCCACAGTCCCTTCTCTACCTGCTTCCAGGTAAGTGTGGGGACAGGAAGGAGTGCACAATTGCCTTGCAGTGTTGGGAGGGGGACAGTCATTTGGGTGGTGCCAAGGGGTGGATTTTTTTTTTTTTTTTAGACTGGGTAGAGTTTAAAGGAAGGAAGTCAAGACCATCTGTTTTCCAAAGGACACTTTCAGGGACTGTTCTAAGCCACCAGCTCCCCGTCTCTGGCATCCCTCGCCACCCCCAAGTCTCACAGATGTGATAGAGTGACTTACCCTCTGGAGAATTTCCCCATGTTTTCAGACCTGCGAACCACTCACCCTCCTACATTTCTTGGCCTTTATTTACTTTTTTTTTTTTTTTTTTTAAGTTTCCAGAACGGGACTCCCAGGATTCAGAATTGGGAATTACTCCCCTTCCTTATTCCCACACCACTGTCACCACCACCTATTATGACCATCCCAGAGTCTAAACATATGTTTGGTCTCTCTGTGCCTTTTCTTCTTGTCTCCAACATTCATTTTTGTGCCTGTAACAGGTAGAAAGACCAGACCTAGTCAAAGTACCCCCGCTCTGGGAGTCATTGTCACCCGGGAATTCTAGTTTAACCATGTTCCTTGTGTTGTTGTTATGTGCCCTTGAGTCAGACCCGACTCATAGGGACCCCTCCTTGGGTTTCTGAGGCGATATCCTACTTCCGTAGTGATACTGCCTCGGAAACCCAAGGAGGGGTCGCTATGAGTCGGGGCTGACTCGACGGCAAACAACAACAACAACAATCTCTACAGAAGTAGATTGCCCAACCTTCCTTCTGAGGAGTGGCTGGTGGGTTTGAACCGCCAGCCTTCTGGTTAGCAGTCAAGTGCCTTAGGCACCAGAGCTCCTAACATGTTCAGAGAGGTGGAAGCATGAGGAAGCTGAACATGTCTCCTGGTCCTTCAGTCACAGACAGTGTGAAAAGTAGGCTAGAACTTGGACATCAACTCCCAGGTCTGCAGCGTTAGGAGATAAACACTGGAGATTTCCGTTAGCTTTATCACAGGTACCAGGGGCCTCAGAAAGGAAAAATTAGAAATCCAGCTAGGAGTGGGTATTTGTTTTGGCATCACAGGGCTTTTTGGATATGTGAAGCCAGGAGCACACAGTGGTGACCTAGGCCCCTAAGACTCCTTCCTCACCCTAGACCATCCCCTCTGTCTCCTCCTTCTGTGTTCTCACACCCCAGCCTCCCCACTCTGGCTGCGTTTTCTCTTGCTTGTAAACTCTCAGTGACTCAGCAGGAGAGGGAGTGTGGCACAGTGAAGAGGAGGCTAGGTTTGAGACCTGTTACTGCCCCGACCAGCTCCTTAATCTTAGGGCAAGTTATTAAGCTTCTGAGCCTCAGTCTTTAGGTGTATTCAGTGGGCCCAGCTCTGACATTCTGTGAACAGATCTTGGCTGTGGCCTAATGTCACATACTTGGATGTACCCCTTCTTCCTTGCTTTTGTGTCCTTCCTACTTCTTCCCTGCCTTCACTCTAGATTGCTCAGTGGTTTTCATAGGAATTACCTGCCCCGTAGTAATCCTGGAGGCTCCTCTAAGCAAGCAGCCACGGCAGCTCCTGCCCTTCCCTTTCTTTCACTCACTCCCCTCTGGGGAGTCTGTGACTGTGTCCTGGGTGAGCCCATCTGCTCTGACCATCTGACCCTCTGGGACTGTTTCCACAATGTAGCTATTCTCTGTGGACACTGCCAGGCACACAAGGGCTCCAGTGTCAGGCTCTCCCTGATTCCATCCTGTTGGCTCCCTATGCCCCACCAGCCCTGGGGGAGACACCCCAACTTTGGAGAAGCTGCAGGTGAGTTCAAGCCTTGATGACTGCCTCATCCTGTTCTCCAGGGAGGACAGGTGCAATGACTAACTCCTCATTCCTGGAGCTGTGGCAGCCCAAGGTGGTATCCATCCATCAGCCACTGGGCATCGGGGACCAGCCCAATGACTCCTACTGCTACAACTCAGCCAAAAACAGCACAGTGCTCCAGGGGGTCACCTTTGGTGGCATCCCCACCGTCCTGCTCATTGATGTCATCTGCTTTCTGGTGAGCCCCCTTGTAAATCACACCCCTCCTTCAGTTATTTCTTTGATTAAGTCCCCCTTCCAGGGCCTTCTGGGAAACACAGGTGAGGAGACCAACCTGTCTGTCTGTTTAAATCCCAGCTCTGCTACTTAGCAGCTATGTGACCTTGGAGTTTTGGGATCTGTAAAGTGAGGATAATAATTCTTAGCTCAGAGAGTTTTGAAGAAGATTGAATGAGCTGATCTAGCTAAAAGATACAAATAGCTGTTCCTTAGAGTATTACCTTTACTAGGGAGTTCTCAAGGTCCACGGGAGGGTCAGCCCCACAGGAATGGGAGATGGGAATGCTGAGTGAGGACTAAAAATGGAGCAATTGCAGTTCCCATTATATAAATATCACCCTTCCCCAACTGGGATTCCTGGGGCTTCTAGAGATATAGAAGTGAAGGAAAGAAGAAAACTGTGAAAAGGAACATCTTGTCAGAGATGACCCTCAGCAGGTGGCCTGCCTTCAATGTAGAACTCCTTGTCCACAAAGATACTCACCCTCACCAGCTGTTCATGAAATACATCATTTTTCTTCATGATATTGACTCAACATTGGCTAGTTGGGATTTATTGGGGTTAAGGTGCATTTTCTTTTTACAAATGCCCGTGGGATGATCAGTCCCTCATGATGCCTTTTCCTAACACATAGCAGAGACCACCTGAGTAAATGGGGTGAGTTATGGGGTAGGGAAATTAGACAATCTTGAGCTACTTTGGGCAGGAGGGTAGGCTTGGGTGGGCAGCTGTGGGGAAGGGCAAGTTAGGGGAGCATGAAGGTCCCAGTCCCTGTGGGAGAGAGGTCCTGGGAGGTGGGAAGAGAGGGTCTCAAACACAGGTTTGCTGGCCCCAAAAATGTTTGTAAGAAATGTTTCTCTTCCAATTTTTAGTTCCCAGGATTGAAATCTGAATTGTTGCATTATAATTTTGGTACATTGTTCGTCCTCAATGGGCTGATGTGGGAACATGCATGTTACCCACATTATATTCATGCAAAAGGGCTCTATAAGTAGCAAAGGAACCAAAACTTTAGCAGGTTGAATCTACCCAGTGGTGCCGTGGAAGAAAGGCCTGGTGATCTTCCATAAGATTATGGTCAAGAAAACCCCTTTGAGTGCCATTCTACTCAGAAACACATGGGCTGGAATAAACTCTACAGCAATGGGTTTTGGTTTTTTTTTGTGTGTGTGTGTGTGTATATGTCGTTAATCCATTAATTGGAGCTACAACCCATTTGTAGGTTGAGAACACACTCACAGTTACCAACGCTGACTGAGAGGAGGGAGTAGGCAAGGGTGTGTTGGTGTATTTAAGAGTCCCAGTCAGTGGGAGTGATGGAGCAGCATGGCCCTGGAGCTGTGATCGAGACCCTTCAGGGTGGAGAGGGATTGATTGGGCAAAAGTGCAGAATCTGGGGAGGAAGGCTGAGCATCAGGCACCAGGCATGCTAGGGTGCGTGTGGCTGAGACAGTGTTGGTTGAAAAGAGAGTCGATATCCAGTGGTGTGTGCTGATGGGAGGTGGATTTTTATTGTTGAAAGTTATGAGGTGGCACACGAGCCAGAGGGCCTAGGAACTTGGGCTCATGGGAAATGTGAATGCTATAATATGCCAAGAAAGCAGCAGCTGGGGACAGATCGAGCAGGCACTGGCTGAGCAGCCTTCGTGTTTATCCTGTAACATGACTCACTGCCTATGAAAATATGTCCCTGACTTCCTGATGCACTTCGAGAAAATCCCATGAGAACTCAGCACTCTAATTAGAAGCCATCCAATATGGGTTTTTTGTTTGTTTGTTTTGTTTCTTTTCTACTTACAGATTTTAATATTGGTGTTTTCCTTCATAAGAAGACGATTCTGGGATTATGGCCGCATTGCTTTGGTATCATCAGAAACAGAGAGGTAAAAAAAGAAAAAAGATAACATTGTCTAGAATATGAGTGTGTGTGTGTGTGTCACAGGCATGGGGAGATGGGAGCCTGGCATCCCTGGGTACTGGCTTTAGGGCCTGACTTTGCTTCCTTCCCCCTTGGCTTCTCACCAGGTAGGAAGAGACGGGGGAGGCAGGGAGTGGGATGAGGAGGCGGTGGCTCTGCCCACCGCTGCTTAATAAGCTGTGAGCTTCCTCCTTGCAAAGCTGGTGTCTGCTCCTCTCCCTCTGCCCACTCCAGATGCCTTAGGCTGGTTGTAGCTGGATGTCAGGGGCTTGTGAAGCTCACCAGGCTGGACCCACACATCATGCCAATAGTAGATTGTGTTCATTGATTATATCTGCGAGGCCTGTACCAGAAACTCTGTTCTCTCTGATCTTCCCCACAGACCATGAGGTCTGCCTTGGGATCTTCTTTGTACCCATAAGAAAACTGAAGCCCAGACAATGTATGAAACTGTCCATAGCCCAGAGCTAGTAAATGGTAGGTGCCCCCTGCTCCCACCCTTCCTATTCAGAACCTGTGCTCTGAGGATTGGTAGTGGGGTCTCAGTTTTTCCCCTCTCTGTGGGGTAGTCTTTTCATCACTTTAGTGTTCCCACTGCAAGAAGCCCTTGTTCCTCCAGGATCACAACCTGGCTCTCTCTTGGGGCTTCTGGCCAGGCCACAGCTGTAGACCTTGTCTGCTTCAGGCTATGGAGGACAATTTGGTGCTTTAGCTATTTAAGGCTTTCATCATCGACTAAGGAGGATGCCAGTTTTCTTTCTCACCTTGAATATGTTGTACTGTATCTTCTTTTAAGTTGGAGCCCCTAGGGGATGCAAATGGTTAATAGGCTCAGCTGTTAACCAAGAGGCTGGAGGTTCAAGTCCACCCAGAGGCACTTTGGAAGTGCTATGGAAGACAGTTCTCCTTTGACATACAGGGGGTCGCTGTGAGTCACAGTCGATTCAAAGGCAACTGGTTTTTTGGTTCTTTGAAATTAATTAGCTTGGGGTTGCGGATGGGGTGAGGAGTTTAAGAAGCATAGTGGGACCAAGGTGAGCTGTTCCTGTCCTCCTTCAGGGTCAGTGCAGGTGATGGCTTGAACTCAGCTGGCTTCTGATGAGTCTGTTACAAGAAAGCCCAGGCTCCCTTAGCCAGACCTCAGGTCCTTCTGGTTCCATACTGGGCTCTGTTCGTTCTCTGCTCACTTCACCTGAAGGGTGACAGTGAATTATACATCTGCACAACTGGAATTTCAGCTCCAGCTGGCTGTTGCACCCAGGATCTTGTGTCAGATGTTGCAATAGGAAATGTGTGGTTACATGCTGGCTGGCCCAGACTGCATAGCCCAGAGCCTCCTCTGGTAGTTGCCAGGCAGACCCCTCACTCTTGTACCACTTGGCTGAACTGCTGTGGAAATGAAGTCTGGGTGGAGGGAGAAGAATCCTTTGGACCAAGAGGAGGTATATCTGGAAAGGTACATTCTTTCTCTGCTCTGGCATTTATGAAAGCTCATGGCTGATGATGACCTTAGGGTCAGGTGGTGGAGCCTCTTGCTTCAGTTGTGTTGAAGCTAGCCTGTTTAGGGGACAGAAACTTTTGGGACATCTGGTGCACTTACAGCAATTCACCCCTAGGAGAGGAAGGGCACCATGAGAAAAAAGAGCACTTGGAAATCAGAGACCACTGCCTGACACTCTCCTGGCTGTGTGGTCTTGGTCAAGTCCCCACACTTACTGGAGATGATTTCCTCCTACCCATTTGTTATGGATTGAATTGTGTTCTCCAAAAATATGTGCTGGAATCCTAACCCCTATACATGTCTATGCGATACCATTTGGGAATAGGATTTTCTTTGTTATGTCAGTGAGTGTAGGGTATGTCTTAAACCTTTTGAGAAATACAAGGTACAGAGACTGGGAAACATAGAGATGCATGTGAGGATTGCCAAGGAACCAAGGAGGAGAAGCTGAAGAAGCTGAGGATTTTTCTCCAGAGTGAGCAGAGAAAGCCTTTCCCTAGAGCCAGCACCCTAAACCTCCTAAACTGTGAGAGAATAAATTTGTTAAAGCCATCCACTTGCAAAATTTCTGTTATAGTAGCAGTATTTAACTAAGACACAGCTCTTCCTCACAGGGTTACTATGAAGATCAAATAAAATAGTGTGTCTGTAAATGCTATGAAAGTTAAGTTTCATTGTATTTTACATCATTAGTTGTGGAATGGTAGGGCCAGGAGTAGGAAAAGAGAGGATAGAAACAATTTACAGATTTCAAACCCCTCAGATTCCTAGTATAAGGGTGTTTTTGGGGGTACTCAGAAGAAGTGAGCTGGTTAAAATACCACTAATGCAAAATGCTATAGTTCAGTGGCTCTGAAGTACACATGCTCATATCTCTAAAATCAGGATGAATCTTACCAGTGACACGATGTTTTAGTTTCCTCATTCTGCTATAACACAGATACTATAAGTGGGTGCCTTTGAGGAGCAGAAATTCATTTTCTCACAGTTTCAGAAGCTAAAAGTTCAAATCAGGATCTTGATCATGTCAGTTCTATCTTTGTTGGTAGCCCTGGATGTTCTTGGCTTGTAGACAATCCTCGTTTGGCATCTGTCTTCCCTGTGAGTGTGTGTGTCTGATTATGTTGTTGTTAGGTGCCATCAAGTTGGGTCCAACTCATAGCAACCCTATGTACAACAGAATGAAACACTGCCCTGTCCTGCGCCATCCTTACAATCTTTGTTGTCCTTGAACCCATCATTGCAGCTACTGTGTCAATACAACTCTGATAGTCTTCCCCTTTTACTCATGCAGGGGTGGTCTATTAATGCCCCAACTCTGTGTTATTCAGCCCAAAGGTTAGAGTTGTATGGTGACCATACCTGGGAATGGTCCATTGCCCTCAGCTACATTTCACACAGGGTGATTGAAGGCTGGTAGCTTTGGTCTTAAACTTTAAGAAGAAGCAATATACTTGACAAATTTTTAGACTTAAAAAAAATTGATCTGCCTTTTTTCCCCCCCTAGTGAGTCCAGATTCCAGAGGCTGTCATCTTCCTCCTCGGGGCAACAAGACTTTGAAAATGAGCTGGTTGGTATTTAAGGGACGGTTGTGGTTGTGGCTGGGATGGGAACCCACGGTAATGATTTGGAAGACAGGGCTGTAGTGCTTCTGGTTCAGTGGCCAACTTGGTCCTCTGGGATCTTGAGTAACAAGTGCTAGTGAAAGTTTTTCTCTACATCAACACAGACACCTGGACTTGGAAAATACCTCCGAAAGATGGCAGCTGGGTGATCCAAGGTGATCAGACTAGGATAACTTGCAGGCAGAACTAGCTGTGGAATGGCTGTGCTTTCCAAGGACAGATTAACCAGTAAGCAGGGTACATGCAGGCTTAATTGTGCATGGAATTCCCCTGGTGAAATTGTTTGATACAGATTAGAAAGTAGGCACAATTAACCCTGTGCGTACTTTGCTTATTGGGTAATCTGCCTTTGGACTGCTTCCCTAGCACTTTTCTCTGTTTTCCTAGTTGTGCTTTTGGCTTATATTTAATCATTGGCTTGTTTTTCCCTTGCTAGATTGCGAGCCAGATGTGGGCAAAATCATATTCAGCACCTGATGCCCAGCTGGTGCTTTGTAATTGTTGAATGAATAACAAACAAATATTTCCAGTTATGTAATAGCCCAGTTTCAAGGAGTATTAAGTTTAAGAGATGAGATGGACAGTAAAATCTACAAACACCCTTTCCCTCTCTAAACCCCACACCAGGAGACTGTCACACTTACAAGGTTTGTTTTTCTCCTTCATCCCTCATCTTAATCAGTCACTGAAATGATGGAAACAGAAGCCCACATCAGTTCCTCCAGAGCTTCCCCAAGCCTTTGTTACCTCTTGATCCAAGTTTCCTGATTTGACGCTGGAGCTTATGTGATTCCACAAGTTGTCCAGACTTGACTGGTTTTCTCAAGAATTCTGTGCATACAGGGCATATTACAACGGACCAGGGAGTGTGTGGACTCTGTCATGTTTGGGGCAAGGGCACAGCTGGCTGCATTTGGGACAAAAGCATTATTTTTATGCAACAGGAGGTTAAATGGTTATTTAAGGGCAAAGATGATGATTACATCTGCCTCCCAAAGGTACCAATGTTGGAAGCTAATCTGAGTTCTCTCTTTCCAGGGATGTTGCCCCTGGCTGACTGCTATCTTCCGCCTAAAGTGAGTACAGTACAGGGTGGTTCTGGGGCCTTTGTTCGGCTGGTTTGCTTGGGTGTTTCGTCAATCAGGAGAAAAGAGCTAAGATGTCTGATTCTAAAATGGGATCTCCTGTATCCTTTTTAGTTAAAGTCAAGTGGTTTGAGGAGGCTGAGAATAAAGGTCGACCAGGCAGCTCTCTGGTTGTGGCAGGGGAGGAGGAAGTCTGTGGGATGATAGTTTTGGTAATGGAGGTGCCAGCCCCACTGTAGCTCAGGGCTTCCCAAACTACAGATGATCCCAAGAGTTATGGGGGGGGGGGGTTCCTGAGCACGGGTCCTTGCCTTCTACTGACAAAGAATCAAACAGGAGAGGCAAAATGTCCACACAAACCAAAGGTTATTAATGTGAAAGGGAAGAACTCACTAGAGAAAGATGGAGAGGGGCTTCTCCCTATGTTAGCCTCCAGTCTATCACTGAACAAAGGATTTCCTAGGGTTTATAAAGGGTTTTGAGGCACTCTGGTGGCACAGTGGCTAAGGCATTGGACTACTACCCAGAAGGTTGGTGGTTCAAACCCACCAGCTGCTTTGTGGAAGGAAGATGGAGCAATCTACTTCCGCAAAGATATACCTGTCTTGGAAAGGCAGTGGGGTCACTGTGAGACAGAATCGACTCAATGGCAGTGAATTTTTTTTTTTTTTAATGTAGGGTTTTAGACAGGAATAAGCCATCATCTTTATTCATAAAATAGGTGGGGGTTTCCAGGAGAAAAAGGTGGGGTTATGAAAATCAGGTGTGGGCACAGGAAATAGCCAAGAAGGATTCCACTGCAAAGGCTGTCAGAACAAAGATGGAACCAATTGCAAAGGCTGCTAGGATGTTGCCATGACTTATTCTGGGATGTTGTGCATGTGTGATGTCTCTGGACCCTGGTTCAAGTCCTGACAAGGGACTCCTGTTCTTGACTGCCTCTGGTGGAAGCGCACTTCGTTGTTAATTTGAATTTTACTGGGCATGCTCTGTACCTGATGAGGTAGTTGAAGGACAGCTCAGGAGATTTATCAATGGTCAAACTTATGGGGCTTTTGAAATGTAACTTATTATCTTGCCTAAGGCCCAGCAGCAATAGTTACGTGGTAGTCTGCTATATTTACTATTCCAAGAATACTGAGTTAGAGGCTACTTGATTCAGCCAGCCCTATCTGTCTCACAAGGATTTCTTTCTTTCTTTTTTGAATTTTTATTGTGATTTGGGTGAAAGCTTACAGAACAAATTTGTTTTCCATTCAGCAGTTCATACACATTTTGTTTTGTGCCATTGATTGCAGTCCCCATAATGTTACAGCTCTCTTCTCACTTCCTCCCTGTGGTTACCTTTCCCCTGTGTCCTCCTTCCCTATGTATTCCTGCCTTCTGAGCTTTCTCCCTGCACAAATGCTGCCCTTCCAATTTCCCATGGTTTATTGTTCTAAGGAGTGTACCTCCCTGGTGTAATTGTTCACCTCATAGGCCTATTGTTTGGCTAAAAGTTAAGCCATGGGAATGAGATCAATTCCAGGCCCAAAGACCCCAAGGATTTCTTGAAGGTTGCAATGAAGTTTTTATTTCAAAATATTCAATGGAAATTATATATTCATTCTTCATAATGCTGCACAAGCTAATTAAAGCAATTTTTTGTATCTATTCAATATATAGCATTGATTAGTTACTAGACAGTTCCACAAGTCTTTGAATTAATTGTTGTTATTGTTATGTGCCGACGAGTCGGACCCAACTCGTAGCGATCCCTCCTTAGGTTTCCGAGGCGGTATCACTATGGAAGTAGATTGCCCAACCTTCCTTCCGAGGAGTGGCTGGTGGGTTTGAACCACCAACCTTCTGGTTAGCAGTCAAGTGCCTTAGGCACTACGCTACCAGAGCTTGTAGAGAAATAAATAATTGTGACTTAATACATTCAGCTCATTTGTTTAAAATTTTTCTTTTTCTTTTTTTATATAAAATTTGGGGGCTGTGGAAAGAAATCCTAGAAGAGGTTCTTGGTGATTAAGAGCTGTTTAGTCACCTCTCATCTGGGAGGTGCAGTTAATGTGCTCAGCTGCTAAACAAAAAGTTGGCAGTTCTAGTCCACTCAGAGGTGCCATGGAAGAAAGGCCTGGTGATCTGCTTCTGAAAAACCAGCCATTGACATGACAAGAACAGATATATGCACACCCATGTTCATTGCAGCACTATTTACAATAGCCAAAAGATGGAAACAACCTAGATGTCCATCAGCTGAGCAATGGACAACCAAACTATGGTACATAAACACAATGGAATACTACACAATGCTAAAGAATAATGTAGAATCTGCAAAACACCGCATAACGTGGATGAACTTGGAGGACATTATGCTGAGTGAAATAAGTCAATCACAAAAGGACAAATATTGTATTAGTCCGTTATTGTAAAAGTTAAGGAAAGGTTTATCTATAGAAGGAAATTTTCTTTGTTGGTTACCAGGGGTGGGAGGGGAGGGGAGGGAAGGCTATTAGATAGATAGAGATAAGTATTGATTTGGGTGAAGCGAAGGGCAATGTACCAAATATGAGTGACCAATACGGCACCAGTGAGGATGAGAAAGACATAGAGAGGTACATGGGAGGTACAGACAACAAATATGAACTCTTTTGCATATACAGTACTGCGTTGTCAGTGAAGGCAAACATGGGTATATGGATGGATAGATAGGTGGACAGGCTAAACGATTAGGTGTGTCTATGAAATGGGGAGTGTATCCAAGATCATATATAGAGTTGGCAGACAATGGTCCTATAAGTTTATGTGAATGATCAGAATTCCCAAGTGTATAGTAAAGCTTACAAGGGGCAAGGTTGTGGTCACGGCTTGGTCACAGCCAGCTACTCAGAGGGACCGAGTAGTTGAACCTGCAGGCTTGGGATCATAGTCTCAGGGGACATCAAGCTCAATTGGCATAACATACTATACAAAACATTGTTCCACCTTCTACTTTGGCGAGTAGCGACTGGGATCTTAAAAGCTAGCAAGCTGCCATCTAGATGCAATGATGTGTCTCTCCTCGTCCAGAGCAAAGAAGAATGAAGAAAACCAAAACTCATGGAAACAATTAGTCCTAGTGACTGGTACACCATCCGATCTGCAGCATATACAACTATGAGACCAGAAGAACTAGATGGTGCCTGGCTACCACTGTCATCCACTTGGAAGGGTATCGTAGGAGATCCTTGATAGAGAGGGAGAACAATGTGGAACAAAACTCAAAATCATTTGGAGGGAAAGAAAAAAAAAGGTGGGGACCAGGTTTGCTGGTCCGATAGTGCCTGGTGGAACCACTGAGACTATGGCCTCTAGCTGCCCTTCAGGTCTGGAATTGAACCCACACCTGTGGCTTCCAGCCAAACAAAATACAGGCATGTGAGTTAAACATTTACCTCAAATAGATACGCACCTTGGAGAGAACAATCATGGAAGAAAGAAGGGCTGCTTATGCACAGGGAGACAGCTCAGGGGGCAGGAGAGTATGGAGGGATGGACACTGGCAAGAGGTAACTATGGGGAGAAAGTGGGAGGGGAGCTGTTGCATTGTGGTAAACTGGTCAATGACATGAGACAAAGTATATGTGAACTGCTATATGGAAAGTGAATTTGCTCTGTAAATCTTCACCCAAATCACAATAAAAATAAAGAAAGAAAGAAAGAAAGAAAAAACAGCCATTGAAAACCTTATGGAGCTCAGTTCTGCTCTGACATGAAAGGGATTGCCCTGAGTCAGAGTTAATTTGAAGGCAGCTGCTTTTGTTTTTGTTTTTAAGTGAAGATGCTGCCAAGTAAAGTATGATCAACTGTTGATGGTAGGGTGTACCTCATTTCAGAAGTGTTAAAATATGAAAAAGGACACCTTAGATTTGATGAAATATAGTAGTTACATGACACTTAACCAAAAAAAAAAACAACTCACTGCCGTTGTGTCAGATCCGACTCATAGTGCCCCCTCCTTGGGTTTCCAAGGTGGTCTCACTACAGAAGTAGATTGCCCAATCTTATTTCCAAGAAGTTGCTGGTGGGTTTGAACCACCAGCCTCTGGTTAGTAGTCAGATGCCTTAGGCACTATGCCACCAGAGCTCCTTACATGACATTGGATAATGTATAAGTCTCAGGTCTTAGTTTCCCCAGCTATAAAAAGGGCCTAGGATAACACCTGCTCTGCCTATCACTTGAACTAATATGTGTGAGAGCATGATGTCCAAGTCTGATGAGTGTCGTTACCAGGGGAACTGGCAGGAGGCAGGGTTTCTGAGGAAGAAGCTAGTGAATTCTAGTCTGGAGCAGAAGGAAGCAAGAGAAAGTGTTTCTAGGAACGAGAAGACAGTGCAGGAGAAGATGTGTCACCCCACCCTGCGAGGATGGCTTTGTGGCAGAGGTGCTGCCTTTCATGCGGGAGACTCAGATTGAGTCCTGGCCAGTGCACCACCCTTCCTGGCAGTGGAGGTTTACATGTTCATAAGATGCTGAACAGGTTTCAGCAGAGCTTCTAGAGTAAGACAAACTGGAAAGAAAAGCTTAGCAATCTGCTTCTGAAAATCAGTCCGTGAAAACCCTGTGGATCACATGATCCAATCCATAATCAATCATGAGAATGATGTAGGACCCAGTAGCATTTTGTGCATTGGATCATCATGAGTTGGGGTCTGACTTGATGGCAGCTAACAACAACAGCACCCTTCGCAGCACATCAAAAAACATGTCACTAGGACACATTGCCTCCTGATGCTGGAACTCATAATACTCTGTGCAAAAAGTTCATCAGAAAAGAATCAATAAAAATTAAAAATTTAAACCACCCATCAGCCCACCTCTGAAAGCTGCCCACTGCCTCTCTATGGCCACTGCTGCTTAGGACTCTGCCTCCCACCCCCACTCCAGTCACACTGTGTCCATCATAGGACTGAACTAGATTAAACTTATTTTAAGTAATATTTTATTGTGTTTTTGGTTAAAGTTTGCACAGCATTTTAGGTTCCCTTTTGACATTTTCCATACAAATTGTTCAGTGTTATTAGTTACATTTTTCACAATGTGTCAGCATCCTCTCTAATTGTTGTTCCCTTTCCAATACTCTAGTTTCCCTGCTCCCTTATTTTCTCATCTTTGCTTTTGAGTAATTGTTGACCACTTGGTCTCATACAGATGTTTTTTTCGTAGAGCATCCTTCTTTATTTTGTGTGCCACTCAGTATTTCACTCAAAGGTAATCTCAAGGGATAGTTTTGGCTCAAGGTGTAAAGAGTGTTTCAGGGCAGTAGTTTCAGGGAGTCCTCTGGTCTCAACTGGTGCAAGTGAACTTTGACACAGAAAGTTTGATTTATCATTTTCATATTAACTGGCAAAGGCCATTAATAAATTATAACCTCAGTCCGTCTACTCTTGCACATTTACTACTTTCGTTGTTCTGTGTTCCCTTCAGTCCTCTGTGTGGAAATACCTTTACATACATAAAGTGTATGCAGCTACATGCTCGGTGTTCTCACTTTAATGTCATATTGGAAAGATTTCTCCATTTCAACTACCAGTGTTTTTTCTTTTCTCTTCTAGCCACAGAGACTACTCTTTGACTTTGTATTTATTTACTTATTTTGTAAACTGTGATTTGGGTGAAAGTTTCCAGAGCAAGTTTTTGTTCAAGAATCCATAGACATTTTGTTTCATGACATTCATTGCAATCCCCACAGTGTAACAGCGTTCTTCCCACTTCCTCCCTGTGTTTACCATTTCCCTTCATTGTTCTTTCCTATCCCTTACTGCCATCTTAGCTTTATCCCTGGGCAAATGCTTCCCTCTTGATCTTGTATGGTTGATTGTTCTAATGAATGTATACCTCTCTGGTATTATTTTTTAACTTATAGATAGGCCTGTCTTATCATTTGGCTGAAAGTTGAGCTATGAGGGTTGAGTTTAATTCCCAGCTTGAAAGATGGCTAAGGACCATAGCCTTGGGGGACACTAAGGTCAATTGGCATAACATAGTTTGCAAAGAGAATGTCCTACATGCTACTTTAGTGAGTAGCAACTGGGGTCTTAAAAGCTTGTGGGTGGCTATCTAAGCTGCAGCTACTGGCTTCTCCCTCTCTGGAGCAAAGAAGAGTGAAGAAAACCAAAGACTCATGGAAACAATTAGTCCAGAGGACTGATGGGCCATCTGAACCCCACCCTCCACAACCCTGAGGCCAGAAGAACTAGATGGTGCCCAGCTCTCACTACTGACTGCTGTCAAAGGGATCATGATGGGAGGTTCCCAGATAGAGTAGAAGAAAACTTTAGAACAGAATTCAAAGCCATCTCCTTTGACTTTTTAAAGCTGCAATTAAATTTTAACAGCTGCTCACTGCCAGTATTGCAACTGACATTCAGAGAGGTTTCTCAGTTTCCTTCCTTGCCTTTTGCCAGCAAGACGGGGAAGTCAGAAGTATGTCTAAAGGAAAACTGTTGAGTAAAATGTTAATTGTTGGTTTTCATTTTCATGAATAACTACTTACTAAACATGTTTTGCAAAATATGTGCATTTTGGTAGTTTATTTAGAAGGGAGAATAATGTAGTTAATTGCAAAGTTTCGTTCTCCAGGTAAATAGTAAGCATCAGCAGTATCAACAGCCATAGTGTTTGAGCATCTACTGTGTGCTTGGCATAGTCTTAAGTGCTTTATCCTCATTGTCTCTTTTGATTCCCTGATGAGTCAGTGGAGTCAGGTACTTCTTGTTAGCTGTCCTCAAGTTGGCCCCTGACTCATGGTGACCCCATGCACAATGGGACAATATGCTACCCAGTCCTGCACCATCCTTATGACTGGTTGTGGCTTGAACCGTTGTGATGCATAGGCTTGAATGTTGTGACTGATTTTCAGAATTAGATCCCAGGCCTTTCTTCCTAGTCTGTCATAGTTTAGAATCTCTGCTGAAACCTGTTCAGCATCACAGCAACACACAAGCCTCCACTGGCCAACGGGTGGTGCTTGCGCATGAAGTGCACGGGCTGGGAATGGACCCCAAGTCTCCTGTGTGGAAGGCAAGAAGTCTGTCACTGAACCAGAACCACCCTTACAGTGGGTAGTAGTTTCCCTGCTTTCTGTCTGACCTCAGATAAATCACATAGCCTGTTCCCACTCATGCAACTGAGAGATGGCTGAGCTGGGATTCGAGTTTGGTCAGTCTGACTGCAAAGCTGTGCACACCACCTTTCAGATCTGCCTTTTTATATAGCAGCTCTTACTTCCCTGGCTTGAGCTTGTCTAACTGCAGTGCTTTCCCTCAGGGCCTCTTCCCTGTCAGAAGAGTGGGAAAGAGGGAGGGAGACCCCCCCTCCCTCTGTAGCACTGAAGTCTGGCTGTCTGAACCTGGGATTTTCCAGGTCCTCAGTCAACTTAGAGCTTCCAAAAGTAGCACTGAGGGTAGAAAAGGGCAGAACAAGCCACCTGCCCACTGCTCTGGCGAGGGCAGAGTCTCAGGGAGGAGGCAGGAGTAGTAGGATGAACTGAGAATTAGAATGTTTAAAACATTGGCTTCCATCTCTCTCTCAGATCTCCTGAGGGGGAAACTGGAGGAAGGGGTGAGGCCACGAGCCTGGACATGCTCCTAACTTCATTTTGAATGTGATTCCCAGCAGCCATCTTGTCAGTGTCTTTGTTCCTAGAAGCAGGGAATGGCTGTGGAATAATTGGATTCATACAGTACAGCCACGCACGTAATGTGGGCACAGATATTTCTAGTTCTGTAAAATGGAGAGGTGATCAGTTCCTTGCCCGTAAGTATAATGTAAGGGCAAAGAGCAGGCCTGTGGAGTTCCATCATAGCTTTGCTATTACAAGGCCTGTGATCTTAAAAGTTACACAATTTTTTTAGTACCTCTGCCTCCTTCTATGTAAAAAAAAAGGGGGGAGAATGATAATAGACTCTACCTCATAGGATTATCGGCCTGAGAACCCTGCCTGATACTTCTACTCATTAAGATTGTGTGTGTTTGGCCAGTGATGACCAGATCCTGGAGTGGTGTGGAGAGGATGCCATCCACTACCTGTCCTTCCAGAGGCACATCATTTGCCTGCTGGTGATGGTCAGCTTCTTGTCCCTGTGTGTCATCCTCCCTGTCAACCTTTCAGGAGACTTGCTGGGTAAGGCTTTTCTCATCCTTGTCTGTGTTTGGCTTGGGCAGAGCAATGACCCCAGGGGAAAGGAGGCTCATTTGGGTAGACCAGAACTCTAGGATTCATGTTCAAATTTAGATATGAGGTCTCAGTGTGAATTTCTGAGCTTTTCTATCTGAATAAAGATCTGGAGAAGAATTTGCCCCAAATCTGTGGCCAAGAGGTGGGGGTCCAATATAAATTCTGGTTATAACTAAGTAGGAAGGAAGAAAACAAAACAAAACAAAAAAAACCCTCTATAGAATTAGGGACTTTTAGAGATACTTTATACTTTCCTGTCCTCATGCAGTTAGTGGACCTGGAAAATGTTTGTGATGCTCAAAAGTCAAATTCAGAGTGTGAAATTCTGTCTCTAAGTAACCACAGGAATTCATAACCAAAATGCCATTATGAATCTACTTAGTGAGCCCAGTGATTTCCAGCCTTGGAATGAAGCAATAGTTGAAAGCAAGATGAATCCAAATTTTAACTTTACGTACATGGTAGATTGAAAAGAAATCATCAGGAAATATCTTAGAGTAGACTAGGGGCTTTGTTAGTGCAGCTGTGAAATGACTGGTCATCTTGTCTTCTGGTGGATCCAATTATCTTGTGTTCTTCCTTCTCTGAACCCACAGACCAGGGCTAATTGTGTCCCAACTCCCTCTACTTTCTCCAATGTATCCCTGTACTAATTGTCTGTGTTTCCCTGCAGATAAAGACCCTTACAGTTTTGGGAGGACGACAATAGCAAACCTGCAGACTGGGTGAGTATGGAGCAGGCAGGGGTAAAGGTGGGAAGCGAGGGTGCTGATGGGTGAGAGTCCAAAGAGAAGGCAGATTCAGGGGCCAGGGTAGAAGTAGTCTAAAGCAGGCTGAAACATCTGAGAGCCCTTTTATAGCTAGTGTGTTGCTGGGCTGTGGGTAACATTATGCCACAGGTAGCCCCTGTTTGCAAGGAGTTTAACAAAACACTGTGGTGGTACAAATGGTTAAGTACTCAACTACTAACTGAAAGATTGGCAGTTGAAACCCAGCCAGAGGCACCTCAGAAGAAAGGCCTGCTTCTGAAAAATCATAGCCTTGAAGACCCGAAGGAGTATACTTCTACCCTGCAACACATGGGGTCATCAAGAGTTGGAATTAACTAGATGGCAATGGGTTTTAACAAAATGCGGAGGTCCTGTGGACCTGGAGTTCCTTTGTCACGACAGGGCCAAGGGGAGCTCTCTGAAGTATTCATTGTGGGCCAAGAGGCTTTGGTGCTGTGGCCTCCGATGGATGGTGTCTTGTGCCCAGGGTAACTAAGCCCTAGCCCCCACTCAACCCCACCATCCACCCAAGATCAGCCCTAATTATAGGCTATGTCCTTCCTTCAGCAACGACCTTCTCTGGCTGCACACCGTCTTTGCCGTCATCTACCTCTTCCTCACTGTGGGCTTCATGCGGCACCACACCCATTCCATCAAGTACAAAGCGGAGAGCCTAGTGAGTGACTGAGTCCACATCCTGAGGCTGGGTGGGGAGCCCGTGCTGGGGAGGGGTCTTAGGTGGGAGCTGGAGAGGGTAGCATCTGAGGCGATGATAGCAATGAGACTTTGTAAAGAGGGGGCCTCTGTTGGCACTTGAGGGTTCTTCCTGGACAGCAAACAGCAAGTGTTTATTGAATGAGCTGTTATAAAACAACAATTTTTGAAAATGTTATGCTGAGTGAAATTGATCAGTCACAAAAGGACTCATGTAAGTGTGATCTCACTTATATGAAATAAGCAAATATGTAGAAATCAAAAATTATTACTGGTTGCTGGTAGTGGGAGGGAGGGGTAAAGGGAGTATTTGCTTGGAGGGCATTGAGTTTATGTTAACGCTGGTGGAATGATTTGGAAAAGGATGGTGAGAATGGTTGCATACTTGAAGAATGTAACCAGTGTCACCAAATTGTACATGTGGAACTTGTTAAACAAACATACAAAAAACAATTGATGAGCTCAGTGCAAATGATTCACAAACATAAGGATTCAAGAAAATAAGTAAAGGGGAGCCTGTGTAGAATCTGGGAGCTCTGGTGGCCTAGTGGCTAGGGCAGTTGACTGCTAACCAAAAGGCTGGTGGTTCCAACCCACCAGCCACTCCTCGGAAGGAAGATGGGGCAATCTACTTCCATAGTGATACCACCTTGGAAACCCAAGGAGAGGTCACTATGAGTCGAAATTGACTCAACAGCAGTGAGTTTGGTGTGTGTGTATATGTAGAATCTGGCTTGCATATTTGTGCCCAAACTTGGATTTTCTCTGTCTTTTTAACTTTCCTGGTGGATTGTTTTAGTAGAAATATTCCACTATTCTGCCAAGTTGCCCTTTGATTTGTGCTGAGTTGGGCTCATAATTAATGATTCTAAGTAACTTCTAAGAAGTCTGGGTTGAAAGCAGCCCTCTCTCTCTTTGCAGTCTACAGCGTGGTGGTGGGTGGTGGTGGTGTCTGTTACATATTATGTGGTCTTCCTCTGATCTGCTTTGTGGTCACACTTGAGTTACTTCCCCTCTGGCTCCTTTCTCAGTATCCTGTCTTAACAAAGGAGGCTCAAAGTTTCTGTGGAAATATATTCTTTGTACAGCTTTAGAAGAAGAAGCTATGAGCCTCTGTCAGTCTTCTGATTTCCTGTTGTTTTCTTTCGGGAGGGCTGAGCAGAGTTGAAGACTTGGTGACCACAAATTGGCTTGCCCTGGTGACCTTTCCCCCGGTGTCTTTCTCTGACAGGTGAGACGAACCCTGTTCATTACAGGGCTCCCCAGAGAGGTCAGCAAGGAGATGGTGGAGAGCCACTTCCGGTGAGCAAGGATGTGGGCAGTCCTGAGGGTCAGGACTCTGCAATGGGGGAAGAGGGAGGAGCCAAGACCCTCTGGGCAGAAACAGCACAGTCCCATGGGGCAAGGTCTTCCCCTTGGTTACTGGGTGAGATTTGAGAACAGCCTGTCCCTGCCATATGTGTATCAAATGGCTGTTGTGAGCAAGGCCACTGCTGGGCTGTGAGGAGGCAGGGGATAGGATCAGTATCCTTCACATGCAGTCATGGTGCTCCATGTAACATGCCAGAGCATAGGTACAAATAACCATTGTGAGAGTCTCACGGAAAAATAAATTAATTTGTACCAGAGCTCTCAGCATCAGCTTTGTGGAGCAAGAGATACATGAGCTGAGCCTGTGTGCTGCCTCACAGAACCAGAGGGTCTCAGAGTGGAAGGCCTTAGGGCCTTATAGTCATTCTTTGAGTCACTCATCCCTGCAGCAAGTGTTTATTGAGTGAGCACTCAGTGTCCAGCTCAGGAGGCACAGGCCTCTGTGTCATAGACAGGGCTCACCGTTTAGTAGAGTCCAGGTTTTCCCCTGGCAAACCTGCTTTTAAACAGCCACAGGTGAGTGCTTGCACCAAAACTTCTCTGGGTGGAGGCTGGAGCAAGGGTTTTCCTTGTGAGAAGAAAATTATGTGTGTGATGCCGTGAACACAGGAAAAGGCCCCGGATGACCTCATCTGGAGCATCAGAAAAGAGTGGGGAGCAGGCTAGGAAGCTCCTGGGGACCCCGGGATGGAGGGTTTAAGGCCAGACTAAGGAGCTAAGGTTGGAATCTATACTCATTCCTTATTAATTCAGCCATCACTAATTTGTGGCATGGACTTGATAGCTGCTGTGAGATCAGCTCCAGCTCATGGCAATAGAACGAAATGTTGCCTGATCTTGCACTGTCTTCATGATTGCTGGTAATTGGACAATGAGCTATTGTGCTCCACAGAGTTTTACTGGCTAATTTTTGGCAGTAGATCTCCAGGCCTTTTTTCCTAGTCTGTCTTAGTCTGGAAGTTCTGCTGAAACTTGTCCACCACAGGTAACCCTTCTGATATTTGAAATACTGGTGGCATAGCTTACAGTATCATAGCAACGCACAAGCCACCACAAACTGATGGGTGGTGGTAGTATGGACTGAGAGACAGCTAAAGTTTAACTTGGCACTATTCAGAGCTCTTGCTAAGCAAATTAATGGTGTAAGCAATTATAAGATGAATGTTTAAATTTATTCACTAACCTCTTCTTCAGAAAGTGAGTATTCCAGAAATAATTTACTTATACATAAATACTTGAGATTATGATTATTTTTCTCTATTCATTGAAACAACTCCCTAAAGACTGTAACTTTTGGCAACATCTGGAAACAGTAGTTCCATTTATTGTATAACTTTAAAGAAAGAAAAAAAAGTCCCCACATATAATCATATTTTTCCCTGCTTTCCACCCATGGTCATCAAGTCAACTCATACTGACCCTGTAAGACAGAGTAGAACTGTCCCATAAGGTTTCCAAGGCTATACATCTTTTCGGAAGCAGACTGCCTCACCTTTCTTCCATGGAGCGGCTGGTGGGTTGGAACTGCTGACCTTTTGGTAAGCAGTTGAATGCTTTAACCACTGCACCATCAGGTGATCCCTTCCCCTCCTTAAACCACTGCCATTGAGTTGATTCCAGCTTATAGTGACCCCCATTGGGTTTCCAAGGCAGTAAATCTTTATGGAAGTGGATTGCCCCATCTTCCTTCTATGGAGCAGCTGGTGGGTTTGAACCACTGGCCTTCTGGTTAGCAGTCAAATGCCTTAGGCACTGCACCACCAGAGCTCCTTATTTCTCCTGTTTAGGAGACCTTTTTTGTGATTGTCATCTGTGAGGATTGACATGTGAATTTCCCTTTTATCTATGGTTGTTGTTAGTTGCCATGGAGCTGGCTCTGACTCATAGTGACCCCATGTACAATTAAACAGAACATCACCTGGTCGTGCACCATCTTCACGCTTGTTGGTACAGCCAAGTCTATTGTGCCCACCGTGTATTTTGAGTGTCTTCCAACCCAGAGGGCTCATCTTCCACTACTAATCAGACAATATTATGTTGTGCTCCATAAAGTTTCCATTGGCGAATTTTTAGAAGTAAATCACTAGACCTTTCTTCCTAGAAAGCTCCACTGAAATCTTGCCACCAGAGGTGACCCTGCTAGTGTTTAAAATACTGGTGGCATAGTTTCCAGCATCACAGCAATAGGCAAGCCACCACAGTATAACAAACTGACAGATGGGTGTTGGTGAGACCTTATAGCAGGATGCTTAAACTGGGGTTCTCTTCCTCAAAGCTCTCAGTGGGGCCTGAAATTATCTTTCTGATTAATTGAATGACTGACATGTCTATGGGTTTCTCTCTCACTAAAATGTAAGCTTATCCTGGCTTCAGCCCTAGCACCTAGAACAGTGCCTGGCACACAGTAGCTGGGGATTTACCTGGTCCAGGAATCCCCAGAAGTTGCATGTACAATTCATTTCTTGTGTGTGGTGAGGGAGCATCTCATGGTGGCTGTGAGCATGAACTGGAATGGAGCTGCCTGATTCACATCCTAGTTCACATACTCCCTTGCTGTGTGACCTAACACACAAGTCACTTAATCCCTCTGGGCCTCGGTTTCTTCATCTATAAATTGGGGCCAAAACCTCACATGCTATGGTGAGGATTAAATAAGTTAATATATGTGCTAGTGCTTAGCCAGTGGTAATGCACTGCCATCAAGTCGGATCCGACTCCTAGCGGCCCTCCCTTGGGTTTCTGAGGCAGTAGTAAACAGGTATGTAAATGTCTTTGTTATGATTGTTAATATATGTGTATACATTTTCTAAGGTGAGTTTCCTTTGCTTTTATTGTAGTTAGCTGCTGTTAAGTCAGCAACCAATTTATGGCAACCCCACGCACAGTGGACCATTGTGATCCATAGGGTTTTCACTGGCTGAGTTGTGGAAATAGATCACCAGGCCTTTCTTCCTAGTCTGTCATAGTCTGGAAGCTCCACTGAAACCTGTCCAGCCTCACTGTGTTGTTGTTGTTGTTGTTAGGTGCCATCAAGTTGGCTCTGACTCATAGTGACCCTATGTACAACAAAGAAAAACACTGCCCAGTCCTGTGCCATCCTCTCAATCCTTGCTATACCAGAGCCCATCATTGCAGCCACTGTGTCAGTCCATCTCTTTGAGGGCCTTCCCCCTTTTTGCTGACCCTCCACTTTATCAAGCATGACATCCTTCTCCAGAGAATGGTCCCTTCTGACA